GGGAAGAGGAAGGAGTGCAAATTAATGTGAGGACCCTTGAATTAAGAAGTTCTAGGGCCAGGTGTGGTTGCTCATGAAATCCCAGCACTCTGGGAGGCTAAGGCAAGTGGATGACTTCAGCTCAGGAGTTGGAGACCAGCCTGGGTGACATGACAAAACCCCATCTCTACAAAAAAAAAAAAAAAAAAAGCCCACAAAAATTAGCCAGGTGTGGTGGTGCGCACCTGTAGTCCCAGATACTCAGGTGGCTGGGGCGGGAGGATCACTGGAGCCTGGGAGGCAGAAGTTGCAGTAAGCTGCAGTCATGCCCCTGCACTCCAGCCTGGGTGACCCTGTCTCAAAAAAACAAACAAAAAAAGTTATCTAACTTTCTGGGGATCTTCAGCTGCCTTGACCTTGCTCACCTGCCTTGCCATTTGCTGGCTACTGTCTTTCTCTCCCTGTGCCTCACTGCTTAACATTCCAATTAGAATATTGTTTCTGTGAATGCTGACTGCAGGCCCACCAGAGAAACGGCCTTTGCTATGCATGGATAAACCCAGTCTGCAATGGCATATTTTTTCTCCTCACTTTAGTTTTTCCCTCTATTGATACCATTCTGCAACAGTCTTCATTCCTAGGGCACGTAATTTATCAGTGGAACTCCCAGCAGTATTTGGAGAGAAAGGTATTTCCTTCCTTCTCCCCTCCCCTTCCCTCCCCTCCTCTGCCCTCCCCTCCTCTCCCCTTCAACAGTGTCTTGCTTTGTTGTCCAGGCTGGAGTGCAGTGGTGACATTATAGCTCACTGTAACCTCAAACTCCTGGGCTCAAGTGATCCTCCTCCCTCAGCCTCCCAAGTAGCTGGGACTACAAGCACACACCACCATGCCTAGCTAATTTGTTTATTTTTTTTTTAGAGATAGGGATCTCACTTTGTTGCCTACACTATTCTCAAACTCCTGGCCTCCTCCTAGCCATGCATGGTGATGCACGCCTATAGTCCCAGCTGCTTGGGAGGCTGAGGCAGGAGAATTGCTTGAGCCTTGGGGGGGTTGAGGCTGCAGTGAGCCATGATCATGCCACTGCACTTTGTTCTGGGTGACAAAGCAATACTCTGTCTCAAAACAAAGAAACAAAAAAAGAAATGTGATCAGATTGGATCATGTATTCAAAACTAATGAGCCTTATGCATTCCCATTGGGGTAACTTATATTATTCTGATCTGTGAAATACCGGCTACTGATTTTCTAATGTCTCATGTGGCATCAAAGCATGCTGATGCAGAGTGAAAGATGGAAGGAAGGGGAAGGTTTCCCCAACTGGTTTATTTCTCATCCACTCCAAAGAACAGTGCCAAAAGTAACTGAGTAGACATCCTGTAGACATTCTACAAACTATAGATCTGTAGGGTTTTTTGAAATGAAAATTTTCTTTATGCTATATGATCATAATTAATTTATAATCTTACTCATTGGATTGGCTCTGAAATAGGAAGCAAGTAAGTAAGTATCCATCTTCTAGGGGAACAGGTGAGTGATGAAAGTAGAACCACATCAGAGTCGGCCGGGTGCAGTGGCTCACGCCTGTAATCCCAGCACTTTGGGAGGCTGAGACGGGCAGATCACGAGGTCAGAAGTTCAAGACCAGCCTGGCCAAGATGGTGAAACCCCGTCTCTACTAAAAAAGATACAAAAATTACCTGGTTGTGGTGGCGTGTGCCTGTAGTCCCAGCTACTCAGGAAGCTGAGGCAGTAAAATCACTTGAACCCGGGAGGCAGAGGTTGCAGTGAGCTGAGATTGTGCCACTGCACTCCAGCCTGGACAACAGAGTGAGACTCCATCTCAAAAAAAAAAAACAAAAAACAAAACAAAAAAACACACATGTCAGAGATCTGGTCCTTGATTTGGTTGGCACTATTGATTTAGAGGTTAGAATCTCGTAAGAAGACCCCAGGGGAATCTTTTGCCTTCTGTTCCGTGATCTCCACTGCACTGGCCTCCATTTCCACCTTCCCACCCTCCATTCCCGTCCCCTGGGAACACAGTGTGGAGGTTGATCAGCTAAGTATGTATTGAGCACTAGCATGAAGCTTTGCTCTACTTATTAGCATGACGGCTGGGCTGGGGGCAGCAGAACCAGCATAAACGTCATCCCTTCTCTCAGGGAGCTTGTGTTAACATGCACGAAACGGATGAGTCTGCCTCCTTCGCCCTTTGTACCAGCTTCAGTTTATAGAGTGACTGGCTGGAGTGCTGTCTCAAGAAGGATTCTGGAATCACAAGAGAGATCAGTGGAAAAAGGGGCTCCTTGTTGATTAGCGTTGCCTGCCGTGGCCCAGCGTGGGAGAAAATAGGTTGTTTCCTGAGTATATGGCATCCTCACACTGTCTAGTAAAGTGTGAAATAAAGTGTCAGTGGGTGACAGATGATAGAAGTTGCAGCTGGTGCGGGTGAGACCTGGATGAACTGGAAAGGGGAGTGGACAGGTGGCGGGAGAGCGTGTTGGCCAGGACAGCACATAGACGCAGGCCCAGTGACCGGAAGTGGGTGAGCAGGGGAGCCATGACGAGGAACCTCTGGCTGGAGTGCTGGGTCAGCTGTGGAGGAGAGGTGGGAGATTCAATGGAAAAGTGAGGCAAGAGAGGTTATGAGGAACGAGGGTGGTGGCCATGAAGCTTTCCAAGGTCAACTAATGAGATCCTTCCCTGCTTTCTCACTATTGCCACAGACAGAGACCTAGCCTAGGCCAGAAGTTCTTTGAGGGCAGAGTGGTTGTATATAATAGACTTTCTTTCTTTTACTTTTTCTTTTTTTTTTTTTTTTTTTTTGAGACGGAGTTTTGTTTTGTTGCCCAGGCTGGAATGCAGTGGTACAATCTCGGCTCACCACAACCTCCACCTCCCAGGTTCAAGTGATTCTCCTTCCTCAGCCTCCCGAGTAGCTGGGATTACAGGCGCCCGCCACCATGCCTGGCTAATTTTTTTTATTTTTAGTAAAGACAGGGTTTCTCCATGTTGGTCAGGCTGGTCTCGAACTCCTGACCTCAGGTGATCCGCCCACCCCGGCTTCCCAAAGTGCTGGGATTACAGGTGTGAGCCCCGGCACCCGGCCTGTAATAGACTTTCAATAACAAAAGCCCTTGAGTAAAATGTCAATTTTCTCCCATTCCTGCTAACTGATGGTATGTGTGGTTCTTGTCTTTTTCTTACTTACCATTATATAAATACATTTTAAAAACACAGCTGGATTCCTATAGCCTTAAACAGCAACCTAAAAAGATGCAACGTGTCGGGAGTGGTAGGAACCCTTCCCATTCTTCACCCAGCACAGCTGTGCAGAAGCAGTTACTGCAGCGCTGCTGGATCCTCACAGGTGATGATGCAGTTCAGTGGAACAATTACAGGGATGTTTGAATGGGAAATGGGAGAAAAATTGCAACTCTCATCCCCACTGTGGCCTGAGGCAAGTCTGGAGCTGCTCATACCCTGTTTTTTATTTTTTTTTCAGACATCAAGTCTTGCTCTGTCGCCCAGGCTGGAATGCAGTGATGTGATCTTGGCTCATTGCAACCTCTGCCTCCCAAGTTCAAGTGATTCTCTGGCTCAGCCTTCCAAGTAGCTGGGATTACAGGCATGCGCCATCACACCCGGCTACTTTTCTTTTTTTTTTTTTTTTTTTTTGTATTTTTAGTAGTGACAGGGTTTTACCGCGTTAGCCAGGATGTTCTCGATCTCCTGACCTCGTGATCCGTCTGCCTCGGCCTCCCAAAGTGCTGATATTACAGGCATGAGCCACCGTGCTCTGCCCATACCCTCTCTTTTCCTAAGATTTTTTTACACCTTTGATTCTGGAAATTCTAAGAAAAAACGACATTTGAAGGCGAAAGACACCATTACATATCCCAGTTTCTCTTTGTTTAAGCATCTATCTCCTGGACACATTTAGGTTCGTGATGTCTCAGTATTTGCTGACATCATAACCTTTTTGTTTTTAGGAAGCAGCATGCTTTCAGGCTTGAAGCTTAGAGCCAGGCTGCTTAGTTTTTAATCCTGGCTCTTCTGTTTTCTTGTTGTATTACACTGGACAAGGTACTCAGCTTTTCTGTACTTAACTCTTTGAAAACGAGGATAGTAATAATACATACCATGTAAGTTTATTGTAAAAAGTAAATGAGCTGGGCGTGGTGGCTGACACCTGTAATCCCAGCACTTTGGGAGGCTAAGGTGAGTGGATCACCTGAGGTGAGGAGTTTGAAACCAGCCTGGGCAACATGGTGAAACCCTGTCTCTACTGAAAATAAAAGTTAGCTGGGCATAGTGGCGTGTGCCTGTAGTCCCGGCTACATGGAAGGCTGAGGCAGGAGAATTGCTTGAACCCTGAAGGCGGAGGTTGCAGTGGTCCGAGATCATGCCGCTGCACTCCAGCCTGGGTCAACAGAGCAAGACTCTATCTCAAAAAAAAAAAAAAAAAGGGAAATGAAGTTCAATGAGATGATGTGTTTAAAGCATGGACGTAATACCTGGTGCATCCTAAGTATTCAGAAAATGATCACTATCATTATTTAGGGTTTTCCTTGGTGGAGGGGTAAACGGTACTAATATGATAGAAGGATCAGTTTCTTACTTTAGTGTTGGAGTCTAGGCTCAGCTCTGCCACGAACTTGTGTGATAAACTTTCTAGGACTTAATTTTCTCCTCTTTTAGCGGGACCAATAATACCCTATCTTGTTTACAGGGGTTTGCAGTCCAGTGTGATAATGAAATGCCTTGAAAAGTATAAAGCGCAAATATCAATCGATTTAGAGATTAGAATCTCACACGTCAAATTTTATTACTGCTGTTGTTGTAGGAGTGGTGGTGGTAGCGAATGATGATATTGATTAAAATTGATCCGATTTTAAGTTTTAAATGCAGTAGGAATGATTACTTGTGGCAGTAGTTTATGTACATTGCAAACAAGCACATTTGCTTTACTTTTCTTGAAGTAAAATAACATTTTTGGGGTTTTCTTTTCCTCCTAGGAACCTTGGAGAGCTGATAGATCGGTTTGTGGCTGATTTCAAAGCCCAGGGGCCACCTAAGCCCAACACTGATGAAGGGGGTGCCGTGCTCCCCAGCTGCGCCGACCTCTTCGTCTACTACAAGAAGTGCATGGTGCAGTGCTCTCAGCTCAGTACGGGGGAGCCCATGATCGCCCTGACCACCATTTTCCAGAAGTACCTTCGAGAATACGCCTGGAAAATCCTCTCTGGCAACCTGCCCAAGTGAGTCCTGTTCTTCATAGTCTGAGTGGTGGCAAATAGACCTAAATATGGGAACCTTAAGGAAATCCACTCTGAAGTTGTTTACTGAACCACCGAGAGTATCAAGGAAGAAAGCAGGCTTCCTGAGTTCCTGAGGGCCTGAAGCTGTTTCCTCTCTGACATTCCACAGCTGACAAGACCACCAAAGGAAATGTCCACACTGGCTGCCCACGTGGCAATTCTTACCACAGTGGACTCGAGGGAACCTGTCCCATTGTACACCTATTTAATATCCATGGATTCAACTATAGATACTTGGCACATACACAAAAAGTGAGGTTGTAGTGGAAATAACTGATAAATAGCTTAAGCAGTTTCACCCAAGCCTCGTTCAGTGAGATTATGCCCCGGAGTGATGGGTGGGAAGAATGAATCTGCTTTTTCCTCATTCTGAGTAGGTTCCAAGTCCCTCTTGGGGTGCGCACTTCCCGCCATGCCGGACAGAGCCTAATGTTTCCGATGTGGTAGGATTGGGGGGCAGCTACTGCGTAACCCCCAGTTATGGTGACTATTGTATTATCCTGATGCATTAGAGCTGGACAGAGCCTAATGTTTGAAGATGCGGTAGGACTGGGGGCAGCTACTGCGTAACCCCCAATTATGGTGACTATTGTATTATCCCGAGGTATTAGAAGATTGTTATATTGCTTGCTATTGAAATAGGTGGATCATTCAACTAGGATTTTAGAGGTGTTTTGATTATATGATAGGTTTGATTGTAATAGAGTATGACCTAAAGTAATGCTTGTGAATTTAGTATTTTCAAATCACCCCCGTGGCTAAAAGAATTCCGGAATTTGTTTCTGTCATTATCACTAAAATGTATCACATATGGGAGTTTCACGTTATTTGGAAGAAAGAGAATAAAATCCTGTGCTCACAGGAGATAGAAGTGATGGGTGTTTCACTAATGAGAACTTCTTTGACTATAATAAAAATTACTAAAATTTTTTTTTTTTTTTTTTGGGGGACGGAGTTACACTCTTGTTGCCCAGGCTGGAGTGCAATGGTGTGATTTTGGCTCACTGCAACCTCCGCCTCCTGGGTTCAAGCAATTATCCTGCCTCAGCCTCCCGAGTAGCTGGGATTACAGGCACCACCACCACACCGGGCTAATTTTGTGTTTTTAGTAGAGACGAGGTTTCTCCATGTTGGTCAGGCTGGTCTCGAACTCCCCACCTCAGGTGATCTGCTCGCCTCGGCCTCCCAAAGAGCTGGGATTATAGGCATGAGCCACCGCGCCCGGTCTTAAAATTTTAATAACTTTTGTTCTGATTATCAAGATAGCACAGGTTCATCATAGCTTAGAAAACATAGGAACACATAAAGAAAAAAACAAAAAATTGGCTGGATGCAGCGGCTCACGCCTGTAATCCCAGCACCTTGGGAGGCTGAGGCGGGCGGATCACTTGAGGCAGGGGGTTTGAAACCAGCCTGGCCAAAATGGTGAAACCCTGTCTCTACTAAAAATACAAAAATTAGCCGGGCGTGGTGGCGTGTGCCTGTAATCCCAGCTACTCGGGAGGCTGAGACAGAAGAATCGCTTGAACCCGGGAGGCGGAGGTTGCAGTGAGCCGAGATCCGGCCACTGCACTCCAGCCTGGGTGACAGAGCAAGACTCCGCCTTAAAAAAAAAATTATGTGTAATCTCACTACCCAAAGAAAACTTAACTTTTTGGTATATATTTTTCCGTTCTTGATAGATACGTAATGTGTGTGATCTGCATGCTTTTGTTTGTGTCGCGGAATTGGGGCTGTGCTGCTTATAGCTTTATTCCCTGCAGCTACCGTTTAACTTCATCCGGGGAGCATTTTCCCACGTGTATTAGTCAGCGTCTCAACAGGAAAAAAATGGCATATTCAGCTGGGGTTTTATCAGTAAAGAGACAGTTCACAGAAGTGGGGGCAAGGTGAGAGGAGCCAACAGAGGATTCCAAAGCCTCCAGATACGAGTGGGGAGTGGTTACTACCGTAGAACTCACTCAGGAGCTGGAGCTGCCCCCAAAACCTGTAGTCACAGGAGGATGTGAGAGGGGTTTTGGTCTCTTGGGACACTTGGGGCCTTGGGCGTGTCTTCACGTTCGCCTGTGTCCTCCTCCACAAGCACACAGAAGTCCCAGTGCAGACTTTTCTGGAGTGAAAGAAACAGGGTAGGTAACCACCTTTCGTGCTCCAGATGGTCCCCAATGAGTTCTGCGTATCAGGAGATTCCGAGCTAAAGAGAGGGCAGCTCAACAGCCTTCGCTTTGGATATTAGACCATCCTAGTTAATGTGGCTAATGACTGGCTGACGATTCAGGTTAACTAAAATAGGAATCATCTCTTCCTATTTCTGATGGTGAGAGAATCTAAACAGACGATAGTCAAGGTAAGGTCAGTAGGAAAAGGACTCATTGTATGTGGACTGATTTGGGCCATGTCCAGCCTTTACTTCCCCCCTTTCTTTTCTTAAAATATGCAGTTTCCAGTTCAGGAAGCACATTAGAAATTCCAGGCTGACTCGTTCCTGTTCCTTTTCCTCAGAACCACAACCAGCAGTGGAGGGCTGACCATCAGCAGCCTCCTTAAGGAAAAGGAAGGCTCAGAAGCAGCCAAGTTCACTCTGGAGGAGCTCTGCCTCATCTGCGGCATCCTGAGCACAGCAGAGTACTGCCTGGCCACCACCCAGCAGGTGAGCCGCCCGGGCTGCCCGCCCACCACCGCCTTTTCCTGAACTCTGGGCCGCGTCGCTCAGCGAGTAAGAATATACGCCCTACCACGGCCACAGACAGCGCTGAGTCAGACCAGTGGGCCTGCCACAGAGGAAAGCTCACCGTCCAGCCATAAGGCTGCCCAGGCAGCTGTCTTACAGGCAGGCCTTGTTAAAAGGAGACTGGGCAAGAAAGTAGGACTGGTCACCTCCCTGGCGTTGTGTAAGCTCCTCAAAGGGCATGACCCGGGAAAAGTAGGTCAGTAGCACTCCTGCCCGGATGAGAAAAGCAGGAACAAGACTTGTCTGTACTAGGACCCAGCCTTTGGTGATGGCGAGTCACAGCCAGTTATTCCACGCTCAGAAGAGTCACAAAGTTAGGCAGAATGCTCTGGGCTTTTATGTCTTCTGAAATTTACACGGCATTTTCAATCTGCCTAAACAAACAGCCATTGTTTGGGATGCTGACGTTCAGGAACTGGGGGGCAGGAAAGGGTGATGTCTCTGTTGGAGGCCCCCAAATGGCCGTAGTTCAGCAGCTGATGGGGCAGAAGGAAGACCCAGAATAACCTCTGACTCAGCCGTAAACGTGGGGTTAGAAATTCCTTTTCACACTGGGGCTGGGATTCCCTGAGGCCAAGAGAAAGAACGTAATTTGGAAAGGTTCTGCTCTTCTGCCCACTTTGTATTGATAATTTACAGATGCCTAGACCACAGGAAGACGGTCATAAGTGATTTTTCAGACAGCACAGCTTGGAGCTCCTGTGAGCCAGGGCAGCAATACAGCAGATCAAACAGGAAGTGTGTCCGCAAAGGCCCTCAGTGGCACGTAAGCCAGCCGGAGGCAGAAGCAGCAGCACACTCTGCCTGGGGACCTGGTCGTGTTGAGCTATGAAGGTCATGACCTGCCAGGGTTTGACCTTGGAGCCACAGAGCAGTCCGTTTAGCCCCCGGCCACTCCCGGGGGAGATGGCACTATCTGTAAGGACCTCCAAGGCAGGGGTTCCAGAATTCTTTTGGGAAGAAGCACTGTTGAACTATTTTGTTTGTGTGCAGAAAGAAAGACATACGTGTAAATATGCTATTTTAAAGGTAAAATAACTATAGTATAAAAAAACAAAAATGATCCCTCTTAATCCTGTCATCCTCAAATAATCATATTAGCAATTTGGGGTGTTTTTTCAATTGTTATTTATAGACATAGTTTTGTATGTTTTAATCTTAATTCACTGTTACATCCTTTTATTGTTAGTGTCATACGTAGCATTAGCATTTTTCCTGTCATTATAATGATAGTAATAATCATTATAACTATCATTACAGAGTCATTATTACTATCATTGTTTATGGCCACATAATATTTCTGTTTAAGGGACTATACCATAAATTATTTATTTATTTATTTTTTGAGACGGAGTCTTGCTCTGTTGCCCAGGCTGGAGTGCAGTGGCTGCGATCTTGGCTTACTGCAACCTCCGCCTCCCAGGTTCAAGCAATTCTTCTGCCTCAGCCTCCTGAGTAGCTGGGATTACAGGCGCCCGCCACCACCCCTGGCTAATTTTTGTGGTTTTTTTTTTTTTTTTTTTTAAGTAGAGATGGGTTTTACCATCTTGGCCAGCCTGGTCTCGAACTCCTGACCTTGTGATCCACCCGCCTCGGCCTCCCAACGTTTTGGGATTACAGGCGTTAGCCACTGCACCTGGCCTTATACCATAAATTATTTAGTAGTATCCCTGATCATTGTTTATGCTGCTGCGAATTTGCCTTTTTTTTTTTTTTTTGACGGAGTCTTTCTCTGTTGCCCAGGCTGGAGTGCGGTGGCACGATCTCGGCCCACTGCAAGCTCCACCTCCTGGGTTCAGGCCATTCTCACGAGTAGCTGGGACTACAGGTGCCCGTCACCATGTCCGGCTAGTTTTTTTGTATTTTTAGTAGAGTCAGGGTTTCACAATGTTAGCCAGGTTGGTCTCAATCTCCTGACCTTATGATCCACCTGCCTCGGCCTCCCAAAGTGCTGGGATTACAGGCGTGAGCCACTGCGAGTAGCTGGGACTACAGGCACCCGCTACCATGCCCAGCTAATTTTTTGTATTTTTAGTAGAGATGGGGTTTCATCATGTTAGCCAGGATGGTCTCCATCTCCTGACCTTGTGATCCACCTGCCTCGGCCTCCCAAAGTGCTGGAATTACAGGTGTGAGCCACCCACTGTGCCTAGCCAAAATTTTGCTTTTATAGATAATCCTGGCAGGGTATAGTGGCTCACGCCTGTAATCCTAGCATTTTGGGAGGCCAAGGCGGAAGGATCGCTTGAGGCCAAGAGTCCAAGACCAGCCTGGGCAACATAGTGAGACCTGGTCTTTACAAAAAATTTAAAAATTAGTTGAGTGTGGTGGCACATGCCTGTGGTCTCAGCTACTTGGGAAGCTGAGGTGGGAGGATTGCTTGAGCCTGGGACGTCAAGCTGCAGTGAGCCATGATCACACCCCTGCACTCCAGCCTGGGTGACAGAGTGGGACCCTGTCAAAAAACAAAAACAAAAACAAAAAAACTGCGATAATCCTTACGAAGGATATCCTTCTGAATATAGCATCTTAAATATTTTGCATTAGTTTTCTAGAACAGACTCTTAGAAGTTCTAGAAATAAGTTGAAGACCATTTTGATGACTGATGATACAAGTAGCCAATTATTTTTTATTTAGTGAAAATTGTTTTTATTGATTATAAAAGTAATACATTCTTAGCCCCTTTATTGTGATCTCTAAATACAGTTTTTCACTAAAAGAAACCAGAGATTCCTGGAGAAAAATTCCAGGTCAAGGGCACGATATGTACAAGATGAACCTAGAACATCATGTTATACAAAAAGCAAGAAAAAATCAAAGACTATTTGTGTCATCTCAGGAGAGATATAGAGATATCTCATCCCGGGAGATATAGTGGGTTGAAGTGTCCCCCCAACCCCAACATATGTCCAAGTCCTAGGCCGTGGGACCTGGAAATGTGACCTTATCCTGGTAAATGTAATTAGGTATCTCAAGATGAGCTGGTCCTGGATTTAGGGTTGGGGGGCCCCTTACCTAATGACTGTTGTCCTTAGAAAGGAGAGAGGGAGACTGAACACGCAGAGATACAGGGAAGAAGGCCGTGGGAAGGAGGCAGAGGCTGGAGTCAGACTCTACAAGCCAAGGAGCATCAAGGATTGTCACCAAACCCCCGAAGCTAGAAGAGGGGCGGGAACAGTTTCTTCCTCAGCGCCTCCAGAAGAGGGGGGCGCAGCAACTCACACCTATAATCCCAGCACTTTGGGAGGCCGAGGAGGGTGGATCACGTGAGGTCAGGAGTTTAGGACTGGCCTGGCCAACATGGCAAAACCCCGTCTCTACTAAAAGAATGCACCAATTAGCCGGATGTGGCGGCTCCTCACTTGGCAGTCTCCTTCCCCAAGCCTCAGGTCCCCACTTCAGTATCGCCTCCTCAGAGAGCCCCTCCTTGGCCACCCCCCTTCAGCAGAGAGCCCCTCCTTGGCCACCCCCCTTCAGTAGGCAACTCCCTTATTCCAGCATTGCCAAATTTGTTTCTTTCCTGACACCACAAAACTGAAGTTACATCTCGGCTGGCTTACTTCCTTATAATCTGGCTCCCCCATTAGTGTTCAGTTCCATGCCAGAAAGAGTCTACTCTGTTCATCTCGGTTCGTTAGCACCAGATACGATGCCTGGTACGTAATAAGGGCTTAATGAAGATCTCTTGGAGGAGTGAGGAGTAAATAACCCACTCCTGAGATAATGGCATTAATCCACGATGAGACCGGAGCCCTCATGACCTAATACCTCTCAACACTGTGGCATTGGGGATTAAGTTTCTAACACATAAACTTTGGAGAACACAATCAAACCATAGAACGATGTTATAAACTGCTATTGTAAATAGTTTTTTTTTTTTTTTTAAACTACACTTTTCAGGATGTTTTTAGATCTATAGAAAAATTGCAGAGATCATTTGCATGGTTCCCATATACCACTTACCCAGTTTCCCATATTATTAACATTAATATGAAAAATTTGTTACAATTAATAAATCAATAACGATATATTTTTGGCATTGCTTTTAAATTTTATTTTCCAATTCCTTGTTGCTCAGATTCTTTTTGTTTAATATGGGGCCTCAATCTGCTGCCCAGGCTGGAGTGCGGTGGTACGATCACAGCTCACGGCAGCCTGGAATGAAAGCGATCCTCCCCTCAGCCTCCCAAGTGGCTGGGACTACAATGGGACTTCAGGCACCTGCCACCATGCCGGCCAGTAGTTTTTATTTTTGTGGAGATGGGGTCTCACTATGTTGCTCAGGCTGGTCTTGAACTCCTGGGCTCAAGTGATCCTCCTGCCTCAGCCCCCACAGTGTTGGGATTACCGGCTGTACCACTGGGCCTGGCCTGCTGAGATTATGAAGTAATTCTCTGGTTTCTTCTTCCCTTTCTCTTTGCCTCCTGCAATCTCCTCTTTGAGAAACTGGGTTGTTTGCCCTGTAGATTTTCCCAAGGTTCGGATTTGGCTGATTGCACCCACAAGTGTTAATGGCCATTTTACTTTGTCTCTTGTATTTCCCATAAATTGGTAGTTAGATGTAGAAGCCTGAACTGATTCAGGTTCTTTTTAACAGAAAACTACATCATAGTGATGTTTTGTGTGTCTGCCGTCAAGATACACAATGCTTGGGTGCTCTTTGTGTGATGTCAGCAGCCACTGATGCTCAAAGCCCAGATTCTTTACTCCATTAGGAGGTAGAAAGAATGATACTCTGGCCGGGCACGGGGGCTCACGCCTGTAATGCCAGCACTCTGGGAGGCTGAGGTGGGCGGATCACCTGAGGTCAGGAGTTTGAGACCAGACTGGCCAACACAGTGAAACCCCGTCTCTACTAAAAATACAAAAATTAGGGCCGGGCGCGGTGGCTCATGCCTGTAATCCCAGCACTTTGAGAGGCCAGAGGCAGGTGGATCATGAGGTCAGAAGTTCAAGACCAGCATGGCCAACATGCGGCCAAAAAGGGAGGAGCATGGAGAGCTTAGAAAGTAGGGGTGCAGCAGAGCGAGGGAGTGGGCCAGAGGGCTGAGCAGGGCGCGTTTCAGGGAGAGGAAGAAGGAAGTGTGAAGTATGAAGGTCCTGAGGGCGAAGGACCCTGGGGCCTCCCAGAAATTTGAAAGGCCAGTGTAACTGAAGCCTAGCAGGCAAGGTGGAAAGTAGCAAGATGGGGCCGGAAAGCTGGGCAGGACCCAATTCATGGTTAGGAATTTGGATTTTATTTTCAGTGTCGTAGGAAGAGCCTGCTGAAGAGTTTAAGCATGATAAGCCTGTGCCATAATTTGTTTTATCCCTTATAAATACACATGTAGATTGTTTCTAGCTTTATGAGGACAGTATTGATCTGTTTTGTTCACTGAATAACTCTCTTATTCTGTTACACAGCCTGAACAAAGAAGGCTTTCAGTAAATATTGGTTGAATTAATGAATGCTGCAAAAAATACTTGCGTATCTTTATCCGTTATTCTCCTTATTTCATTGAAATGCATTTCTAGCTGTGAAATTGCTGGTTTAGGCAATATGTGTATTTAAATTTTTGCTTCTTGAATAAATTGCCTTCCAAAAAGGTTATACTAATTTATGCACCCCAATAGCATTTTCAAATTTAAGACAAAACATTGGTTATTCTGGCCAGGCGCAGTGGCTCACGCCTGTAATCCCAGCTGTAGTCCCAGCTACTCAGCACTTTGGGACTCGGAGGTGGGTGGATCACCTGAGGTCAGGAGTTCAAGACCAGCCTGGCTGATATGGTGAAACCCCATCTCTACTAAAAATACGAAATTAGCTGGGCGTGGTGACGCACACCTGTAGTCACAGCTACTCAGGAGGCTGAGGCAGAAAAATCGCTTGAACCCTGGAGGCGGAGGTTGCAGTGACCTGAGATCGCGCCATTGTACTCCAGCCTGGGCAACAAGAGTGAAACTCCGTCTCAAAAAAAAAAAAAAGCCAAAACATTAACTATTCTTAGAGTTTGTGTAATAGGTTTACGGTGCTAGATTAATCAACTCCCAGGGATATTTCCAAGTATTTACGAGTCCTGGTCCCGTTATTTTTCTTTGAGCTCCAGGAACATGTTGATTGTTTCTGTCCCTGGCTGTTGGCTGATGACAGCAGAGACCGTATTTCTTTTGTTTGCCACTGTATCCCCAATGCCTTAATGAGGCGACTGGCCCATGGTAGCATTCACCGGCTATTTTAGCTGGTTTTACTGCTACTCACCACCAAAGGTTTCCAATCTGGGTGGGCAAGTTCATGGGGCAGGGAGTGTCTTAAAATCAGGTTCTTTTCAGAATGAATTGATGGGAATTATTGATGTGTCAAAAGAAAGAAGTACAGCACAGTGCTGAAGGGCACAGGCTCTGGAGGGAGTTTGATTCCTGGCCCTACCACTTCTATCTTGGGTAGGCCCCCACCCCATTTTTCTGATCTGTAAAATGAGGGTGATAACAATAGAATCTTCCTCATAAGGTTATAAGATTGGCCAGGTGCGGTGGCTCACACCTGTAATCCCAGCACTTTGGGAGGCCGAGGCGGGCGGATCACCTGAGGTTGGGAGTTTGAGACCATCCTGACCAACATGGAGAAATCCCTGTCTCTACTAAAAATACAAAATTAGCCGGGTGTGGTGGAGCATGCCTGTACTCCCAGCTACTCGGGAGGCTGAGGCAGAAGAATCGCTTGAACCCGGGAGGTGGAGGCTGCGGGGAGTCGAGGTCGCACCACTGCCCTCCAGCCTTGCTCCACAAGAGTGAGACTCCATCTCAACAGAAAGAAAAAAATGTCTGGAATTATGCCTGAATCATCCAACTCAGTAAATGTTAACTATTATTATGATGCTACTTCTTTGGATAATCATTGACCATGCATCTGTTTCTCCTATTTTCCAACAGCTAGAAGAAAAGCTCAAAGAAAAAGTGGATGTAAGTCTGATTGAACGAATCAATCTGACTGGAGAGATGGACACGTTCAGCACGTAGGTACCTCGCACACTTGCTCACTGCCTGTCTCTCTGTTACACAGCAGCGTTCAGCATGTATATACCTCGGCACACTTGCTCACTGCCTGTCCTCTCTCTGTTACACAGCAGCGTTCAGCACGTACGTACCTTACACACACTTGCTGCCTGTCCTCTCTCTGTTACACAGCAGTGTTTAGCACGTATGTACCTCGCACACACTTGGTCGCTGCCTGTCCTTTCTCTGTTACACAGCAGCGTGCCTCAGGCTGTTGGCTTTAGTCACTGCAGAACCTAAGAGGTTTCTGTTGGGTCAGAATGAGTCCCTGCTAGCCACTAAGAAGCAGCTTCAGAACTGGGCTGCCGTTGTACCTCCTCAAATGCAGTTGCTCTTTTAGCTTATGGGGTCTGTATTGTCTCACTGTGAAGAATAACCACAGAGAAGACATTCTCCCTTGGCCATCCCTGATCTGCCCCACCTGAACCCACAGAAGGCCAGGCCTACCTTCAGTGTTTTAAAGTGTAAAGTATAAATGGCTTGAATTCAGCCACTAAGGGAATAAGAGTGTGGGGTGGCAGGGGAGGTCCGCCTTCTTTCCCTGTTAGGACCTTGTGGCACTTTAGTTTTGGTCCATTTCTGCTCCACTGCCATTACACGAGACAGGCATGGCCAGGCCGCAGCTTTCACATCAGCCGCTTATTGAGGAAAAATCAAAATTCTCTTCTTAGTTATTTCTTCCACTTCTCTTAACTTTATTTTCTTCACTTCTGACTTAAACATTTTTGGGAAGCAGGTTCTTTTGTAGGAAGATGTGAACAGGGATACTGGGGTGGTGATTAGGGAGACTGGCCGTGGGGTTCTGTGTCCTGACTGGGTGAGGATACAGCCGGGTAAAACCAGGACGAGAAGAAAGAGCCAAGCTGCTCTTCCGCTGTCATTGATTGAAGCTCAGACTTTGCCGATGAAATGATGAATCTGAGTTTGACACAGAGGCCTGAGTGTCAGTCGTTCAGACGGCCGTTGTTTGAAGGGGTGACCTCAGTGATTTCTTTGATTTGCAGCGTCATCTCCAGCAGTATTCAGCTGCTGGTTCAGGATCTGGATGCCGCCTGTGATCCTGCCCTGACGGCCATGAGCAAGGTAAGGTCGTGGGAAATGGCGTCTTACAAACTAGCGAGAGCAGCCCCAGGTGGCGTCGACTGTCTGTGGCTTCTCCAGGCTCATCGGAGCTTGAAGGACCAGCTGAGAGGAGAACGGAACGGCCCCGGAGTTCCTGAGAGCACTCAGTGTGTGTTGCACCCGGGTCGGGTCAGTTGCTTGTCCTTTTAGAGACAGAGCATCACACAGTATTGGAGGATGGCAAAAAAAAAAAAAGAGACGAAGTAAATGTGTTTGATGAGTCTAAAGGAGATGTTGTCTGTGGTTTATGTTTTTTAGAGAGAGGGTCTCTCTCTGTCACTCAGACTGGAGTGCAGTGGTGCCATCATGGCTCCCTGCAGCCTCGACCCTCTGGGCTCATCCGTCCTCCTGCCTCAGCCTCCCAAGTAGCTGAGACCACAGGCGCTTGCCACTGCATCCAACTACTTTTTAAATGTTTTGTAAAGCTAAGAGTCTTGCTGTGTTGCCCAGACTGGTCTTGAACTCCTCGCGTCAAGCAGTCTTCCCACTGAGGCCTCCCAAAGTGCTGGGATTACAGGCATTAGCCATGGTGCCCCGCTGAGATGGATCATTTTTAATTACTGAGCGCTCCCTCATGTTCCTATTTTTGGCTTTTATGTGCCTATGCCTTTTTTTCCCAAATGAATATCAGTTCCGTAAGTGCACAGACCATGTCTTTCACCCCTCTTTTTTCTCTCGTGTAGTCTTGAATATGGGAGATTCATTTGTGTTAATTAAAACTGAGTCAGCCATGTTCCTTTATTTACGTATTATCTTTGATTAGTGTCTGACACATGCTAAAAACCTTGGTGTGGTCTCACCAGAATGGGTGTTCTCCTTAGTGCTTAAAGCAGTAACTTCTGACTCATTCTTCATTCTCGCCCACTGAGAGGTTTTTCCGACTCGTTCTGAGCTCTGGTGCCAGGGCAGGAGTCCTTGATGAGGCTGTGAACTCTGGTTTTCTAATATCCTGGTGGCCCATCAGTCAGCCCTTGGCCCTCAAGTCCCTCCTTTGGCACTTACCGAGCACTACCTCATGTTCCTATTTTTGGCTTTTATGTGCCTATGCCTTTTTTCCCAAATGAAGTCAATTCCGTAAGTGCACAGACATGTCTTTCACCCCTCTTTTGTCTCCCATGTAGCCTTGAATATGGGAGATTCATTTGTGTTAATTAAGTTGGAAATGGGTCTTTGTTATGCTAAACCCGAGGAACATGAAGCTGCAACTCTAGAACTTTGCTGAGCAGGGATTGGTAAACTAGAGCTTGGGAACCAAATCTGGCCCACTGCTTGTTTTTGAAAATAAAGTTTTATTGGAACACAGCCACGTTCCTTTATTTAACGTATCCTCTGTAGCTGCCTTTTTTGCAATATGGTGGTAGAACTGAGTCATTGCAACAGAGACTAGCCCACAAAGCTAAAAAAAATTTAATATTTACTCTCTGACCCTTTATAGAAAAAGTTTGCCAGTGTCTGCTCTAGAGTCCTAGGCTCTTGTAGCAAATTCTGGAGAAATGATTTCTCTGGGTCATACTGGCCAGTACCAGAGGGCAGTGGGAGGAGCACTAACTTTGGAGTCAGACAGACCTAACTCTTCCAGGGCTTCCTTTGGGGGTCTTGAGCAGAGGATTCACCTGTCTGGGCCAACGTGACCTCATCTGGGCCCACGTACCCCAAGGGAACTGTGGATCTCTGCATCCCAGCATTGCTGTGAGGATGAAACACGGAACACACGGGTCTAGTGCTGGGCACATAGTAAATACTCATGAAATGTGAGTTCCCTCTCCCTCTTGTCAGGAGGAGTGACCATGTCACAAGGTTGTGTAAGCAGACATTTGGTCTGAATTTGGTTTTGCAGTAGATTGCAAATATTTAACAAAAATAAGATTAAAACCAAAGCGTAGGCTTTGGGGTTTTATGAACTGAAGTGGCAAGTCCTAAAATAGCTCACGTCACAGTTTTATTCAGAAAGCTCATCTTTTTCACGAGTCCGGTGCTGACAGGCACGTCCGGCATCCTGGGCATTCACAGGAGGACGCTCCGGGCAGGCGGACGGAGGCCGGTCCGGAGGCGTGGAGGAGTTCGTTTTGCAGGCTCTGCTTATCCCCTCCTGCTGGTGACCATTCCCCACATCCTGAGTGTGATCTGTCCCAGCTGCCGTCTCTGCTGAACTGCACACACTTCAGGTCGGAATGCAGCTGGTGAAAGCATTTTCACGTTTACCAAAGGAAGAGTGGATTTTTTTTTTTTTCAATAAAATCACAGTTGGAAGGGGTTTAACACTGCAGGTGTTGCTTATACCAACTGTCAGATGGTTCTGTGGATTTCCCTCAAACCCTGCCTCGTCCCACCCTCTACTTCTCCCCGTGCCCACACCAGCAAATATTCACAGAGACCGTGCCTCCCGAGTCCTTTGTTTCTATCATACGAAAACCACAGACTTGGGGACGCAGCAGCTGGGAGGCCGTTACTTTTTGTCTGAGTCTTCTGGAGTTGTAGCAAAATAAAATCCATGTGATGGAAGTAAACAAGCCAAGTGGTCACAAACTGATTCAACACGCATTCTGTGTTCTTTATGCCTGCATCCTGTTTTGTGTAGTTTCTTCTAGGATTTTAAAAAACTTCTGTGATAATGGTTGTTTCTGTCTCTGATTCTATCATTTTTGCCGCTGGTTGGACAGTTCAGTTCAGACCCTGCCCAGCACGGTGCTGGGGGCTGCGAGGCCCAGAAAGGCGTAAACCTTTGGCTGAGGTATTTAGATTCCAGGAGCTGAGGGCAAGAGACGTGTAAGATGACAGCGACACCCGGTAACTTTAATAAAAGAGGTGAGGAAATCAGTGCCGTAAGAAAAGTACGAAATACGCCCTCTTTAAAGAGGGAGGAGTTCATATCCAGGTGGGGAGGCAAGGAAGGCCCTGGTAAGGAAGCGGTGTTTGAAACAGGTCAGGGTGAAGTTCTGAATGAATTTGTGATTAGGAGGGCAGTTCAAACGGGGTGAAAACGTGAGTAAAGTTCTGTGAGGTGAGGAAAGCTGAAGAGTTTGGTGAAAACTGCCACTCTCAGTCAGCATCCCAGGGGCTCCTCCGGCTCCTCGGGTACTTGGACTGATAGGGTTAAGATGGGAAAGGAGACTGCCCTCAAGGAGTCTGTATTCTGCTGGGAAGAAAACTGAGAAGAACCAGTACTGTAAATAAACGTATCTTAGAAATGTCAGAAGGACGGTTGACTTGCCAAAATGGAGTGTAGTCGCTGGATGATTCTGAGTTGACGGAGGGAGCTTTCCTTAACAAGATGGATTGAGCCAGGCAACTTGGTTAAGTCATTTTCCTGGGAGACCTCATTCTCGTGGAAGGCGCCTTGTGGCCTCCGCCGTGGTTGGCATATAGAGCTTTCATTATCTGTCTCTTCACTCCACTGCTAGGTCAGTTTCTGCCGCTCCCTCCGGAGTATGTGCCCAGTTCTCCAGCCATAGCCATGTTTACTTCCCTGAATGCACATTGCTCTTTTGTGGCTTCTATGCCTTTTCTCATTTTATTCTTTCTGCCCACAATTTTCTTCCTGCCATCGTCTGCCCAAGGAGCACATCCTTTAAGATCGAGTTCGAATGTCTGTCCCCGTTTAAAAACCTGAGGTATAATTCACATGCCATAGAATTCACCCTTTTAAAGTGTCCAGTTGGCCAGGCGCAGTGGCTTACGCCTGTAATCCCAGCACTTTGGGAGGCTGAGGAGGGCAAATCATTTGAGGTCAGGAGTTGGAGACCAGCCTGGCCAGCATGGTGAGACCCCGTCTCCACTAAAAATACAAAAAACTTGCTGGACGTGATGGGGCACACCTATAGTCCCAGCTCCTCAGGAGGCTGAGGTAGGAGAATCACTTGAACCTGGGAGGTGGAGGTTGCAGTGAGCTCAGATCGCGCCACTGCTCTCCAGCCTGGGCGACAGAGTGAGACTTATCTTACGACTAAATAAAGTGTACAATTTAGTTGTTTTTAGTATATTCACAGTGTCATGAAACCACCACCACCATCTAATTCTAGAACATCTTCATCACCCCCAAAAGAAACCCCATACTCTCAGCAGTCATTCTCCATTCTGCTGACAACCATTAGCCTACTTTCTGTCTCTGTGGATTTGCCCCTCCCAACATTTCGCATACATAGAATCACATGGCGTGTGGCACGTCTTGCACCTGGCTCTCTTCACTTAGCGTCGTGTTTTCAGGGCACGTTCATGGTAGGGCATGTGTCAGCACTCCATTCCTTTTTGTGGCTGAGTGACATTCCATTGTGTGGATAGACCACATTGTGTTTATTCATTCATCTGTTGGATGTTTGAGTTATTTCTACTTTCTGATTTTGAATATTGCTGTGAACATTCATGTACAGGTTTTCATATGAACATGTTTGCAGTTCTCTTCAATATGTACCTAAAGGCTGGGTGTGGTGGCTCAAGCCTGTAATCCCAACACGTTGGGAGGCCAAGACAGCCGGATCATCTGAGGTCAGGAGTTCAAGAGCAGTCTGGCCAACACGGTGAAACCCCGTCTCTTCGAAAAATAAAAAAATTATCCGGGTGTGGTAGCGCGCGCACCTGTAACCCCAGCTACTCGGGAGGCTGAGACAGGAGAATGGCTTGAACCTGGGAGGCGGAGGTTGCAGTGAGCCAAGGTCTCACCACTGCACTCCAGCCTGGGCGACAGAGGGAGACTGTCTCAAAAAAAAAAAAAAAAAGTGCCTAAGGAATGGAACCGAAAGAGCCGTATGGTCAATTTATGTTTAACGTTTTGAGAAACTGCCAAACTGTTTTCTGAAGTGACTGTGCCATTGTATATTTCCACCAGCAAAGTGTAAGGGACTCAGTTTCTCCACATCTTCCCCCACACTTGTTTTCCTTTTTTATTATAGCCATTTTCGTGGGTGTGAAGTGGTGTCTCATTGTGATTTCAGTTTGCATTTCTCCCATGACTAACATGCTGGTCA